CACACACACACACACACACACACACACACTGACGGAGGGAAAACAGCCAACAACTACAGGACAAATGTGATCAAGTGATTAAGAGCAGAAATCCAATCAGCTCCAGCAGGAGTGAAGCTATGTGTCAACTCGGAAACCACAGAGGATTCTCACAGGAATCTCAGGGTTGCGTTACCTGCTAAACTAGTTGGTTTGGTGCAGGTCATTCATTCACGTCAGGCCACTCATGCAGAGAGGAAATATTTCTGCCTTTTGAGTCCCGTCCTCCCTCTGACCTTGGAGATACTTGTTCTGTTTCAGCAGCAGCAGCAGCAGCAGCAGCAGCAGGAGGGACACGGCTGCAGATTTGTGACTCAGGCAGCAGCAGTGAAAAGTGAAGCGATGCACAAAACAGCAGCAGCAGCACAGAGCGACACTGACACTGACATGATGATGATTAGTGGAAGGAATGTCACTTGTCATATAAGGGATTTTTTTCTGCCTCATGAATGAACATTCTTGTCTCCAGACAAAGGTGGAGACTGAAAGCTCTGCTCTCCGTCACATAAGCAGCCTTGTTCGTCTCCACTCCGATTTTGTGCTTTGGATTTGAAGAGAGACGATTTCAAACCTAAACTCTCCTTAAATTCAGATTAACAGATAATTAAGCTTTCCTTCATCTCAAGGAGAAAGCACAGAGAGATTCACCAACACCTGACAAATTGAATTTCTAATTTGAAGCCACTCTCCATTGAGTGAAAACAATAAAGAAAGACAGTTGGGATCCTTTATTTTACAAATCCTGCATCTATTCACAGTCAGCATCATGAATGGTTGAACCTCCTACAGGGACAAAGCCCTGGGGTTCGCTTTTGTTGTTCACACTTTGCACTTTCCATTATTTCCTCAGGCAACCAGGAAGCAACCAGATTAGTAAACTAACAGAAAATAAACCATCTTGATAGGTTTCTATGATATAAACTTTCATTTGATAAAATACAACTTTATAAAAAAAAGTGCCAAAACACTTCAGGTCTTAAAACCAGAAAAAACCACAAACATTCTTGTGAAGGATTAAAAGGTTTCAACATTTATTGATATACATTTTTTTGTCACTCTCGAAGTATTTGAATTTAAATATAAATCATGTCCTTAACAAATGAAGGCGACAAACAACAAAATTACATGTGACACATTTTCATATCTTGAAAACAAAGTGTTTTACGTGGCAGCTCAGTGTGTAACGTTGACCTGTATGTTAATGTGACCACAGGGGAATTTAAATGAGGGACTCAGCTCGGAGCAGGTTCATGTGTTCATGTACAGATCCTGTGTTTTTAAAACAAGTCTGAACGTGGATCAGCTCTAAAACTTGATCCATTTAATCTAATAAAAAGTATAAACAGAGCAAATGCTTCTTTTTTTACTCTCAGCAAAAAAACTAACATATCTTCAAAATAATTTTTCGAATCATCAGCTGTAATTTCACTGACCTGAACAAGACAAATCAGTTTATCAGTTTATTTGAGTGTCTATGTAACAATGGGATCTCCGTATACACAGTGTTTCTCAATACCCAGGTTGAACCAGTTGCCTTCTCCTTCTTTATAGGAACTGGTGACTATTCTCGCCCACCCGTGTTCTCCCTGAAAACACAAAACATTATTTACTCTGTGAGCGAGAGAACTGTCGCTATGAGAGAGAAAGAAGTGAGGGAGGGAGCAGTGTGTCTGCAGGGTGTGGTGCAGAGACAGAGAGAGAGAGAGACAAACTCACCCAAAACTCTCCCCAGGAGTTCCTGACGATCCAGTACTCGGTCCCCTCCTCCGACACACCCCAACCCGCCACGGACACGATGTGATTTGGCAACGAGAGCAAGTGAAACTCGGAGAAAACCCCTCCGGAGTAACTCTCCAGGCCGCTGGTGGCCATCAGGGCACAACTGAAACACAGAGAGGAGTTTCTGAAAACGTTTCTGTCCTCTTCACATTTTTTTTGATCAGTGAAATGTCACATTTATTGAAACATTTGTTATTTTCTTTCCGAACCATCAATCGTGAATTCACATTCACAAAAAGCTGAATTTCTCATTTTTTTGCTGCTGTTTTAAGATCATACACTTTTAATGGTGACCATAGACCGTTTCTAAAAATAGCTCATGACGCGTTCCACTCCCTTCAGTGATGAAACAGTGGAGCTAAAATGACCTGGATACTGGAGCCGCCATCTTGAGCCAGAGTCGACTCAGAAGTGAGCGACGGAAACCAAACAAATCAGAACAAACGTCATCATGATAAGAATTATTTGACGTGTATTTTGATTTTTTAATTTTATTTGGCCGACCTCATTCACTCACATGGAAGAGATGGCATTTACGATCTATACCCCAGCCAGCCACAAGGGGGCGATGGAGATGATTTGGCTTCACTTGTTGGGAGCTGTCATGTCGTCCATCTTTATATCTAGTGTATAGTTACAACTGTTTGAATCTTTCACGTCTGCAGGAATAAGAAAAGCAAACTGAAGATATTTTTACGTCTGTTAAAATTGTGTTTATGATAAATTTCCAGTTCACATTAAAATCATAATTCTACTGCGCTCAGGGCTGTAAAACTGGTTTTAATATAAAAACTAAACTAGTAAAAAGTTGAGTGTGATTCAGAATGTGCTCTGTGAAAAGTTTCGTCTGAATCTCTTCCTTCACACGGAGGACGTGGGCGGACGGATGAGTGGAAGAGACAGAGGAGAGGATGTCAGTGGGACTTCCACTACCTGATGGGCCCGTTTTTGTAGAGCTCTGCTTTCATCTTGTCTCTTCCAGAAACGTCTCCGTAGTCTCCCACTTTCCACAGAGTGTAGTTCTTCACCACGGTGCACGACTCAAAGAACGAGCAGGTTCCACACTGGTTGAACAGCTCACACTCTGTCCACATCAGAGACAAACGGATTCTTTAACATCGCTGCCACGTTCATTTCATGACTATTTCCATAACTTTCAATCTTTGAATTGTTTTCTGTCGTCCTCAGTGTTCATCTGATCGTAGGAGAAGCTGTGTAACTTTTTACTTTGGTTTCTGGCTTGGTAGTTGTTGCAGGTTTCGTCAGGGATGCCTCGCTCGTGGGCGTATGCGTAGACTCCGAGGTGATCTCCTCCAAAGCAAGAGCCCGCCCCCCCGCAGTCGATGACGTTCTGGACCGACAGGTAGGCCGACGGCCACGCGCCTCCTCGTTTGATGTTGATACGGTCTTGGACAAGAAGAAAATAACAAATATTACCAAGATGAAATCGTAGAAGCTGCTTGGACAGAACTCTGTCTGTTTCTTCCTCTTGTGGTCGATGCAGCAGCAAAAAGCACATTTTTAATTTACATAACAATAAACATGCTGTATATATTCCATCCATCCCTCCCTCTGTTGTCATAGTTACCAGCTAATGCACTGGTTGCTCCCATGGCCCAGCAGGAGCCACAGTACTGTGGGATGTGTTGGTTCCTGGTGACGCTCACATAGTTCTTTCCCTGGATGTTCCTCCAGTCCCACGACGGAGGAAGGTCCGACACCTTCAGGTACTCGTGAGGCCGAGCCTGGGTCCTGAAACCAGAGAGGGATAAAACTTATATTTGGATGTTGTGATACAGGTCGTATAAAGGTAATAAAGATAATGAAGGCAATGAAGGTAATGAAGGTCAGCCAGATAAAGTCTAAGAGCTGTGTGGTCATGTTCGGGTTCACAGAGCAACTGGGTCCAAAAGTCTGAGACCACATCATAAATGAAATATTTCCACATAAACTTGTAAATAATCAGGATTCAGAAACGTCTAAAAATCACAGTAAGATTTACTGAAGTCTGATTGTGATTCTGAGCAGAAAGAGGTTTCACAGCTTGTATCAGTGGCCACACCATCAGAAGATCAATAGACCGAGGTTAGTTCTCTAAGAGACAGAAAATCTACTTTACATCAGATACAGAATTTGTTAGATAGAGAACATAAGAAGGTCTTAAGAGAGGTTCACTGTCTCTGGGAGGTCTAGAGAATATTCACGGAGATGTTGCTGCACAGGTTGTTTTTTTTTATCTTGTTCCAGATAATGACCGAGTGAGTGTAAGATAATAAAAAGGACGTTTTGTTCCCTGGTGTCGGACCTTTGGACCCAGCTGTGTACGAATCATACAAAAACCATCAGGAAATCAAAGAACAGGTATATATCTTTTCACAGTAACGTATGAAAACACACATGGATTACTGAATGGACCTGACCCTCACAGTACATCCATTATCTCTAATTTATATTCTCATTAGACTTTGTTTATACGCTGCACCTTCGTTAACCACAGAGCTCATTTAAAAAAGACACGAGAGAGAAACTCAAGACGTCAACAAAGAGAAGACAACATGCTGAGTCTGTCTCCGTCAGGGGTCCTGTGTAGGAGCCTAGGGGACTTTCTACCAGTCTGAGCCCCGAATGATGTCTCATAGTCCGTCCATTATAGAAACATGATCCCACATGTTAATGAATCATATGTTTTATTATGTAGCTTTATCATTGGTCGACATCAGTGGACAGGATGTGTCCCTGTGTGCTGTTCTTTGTTCTGCAGCTGCTTTGGAAACTTTGGACCAAGACAATCTTCTCCTGTGACAGATGTGCACATGTGTGTGAACCGAATCTCACTCTTCTGCTTTCCCATGATCCTTCGGTGTAAATGTTTAACGAGTTATTGTTGGTGACGTGAGTAGCATGTTCACAACAGCCTCCGGAAGCAGGAAGTAGCTCAGATGTAAACAACAGCGAACCAGCAGCGCTGAGCCGTGCTGGAGTGAAACGTGGAGTTTGCTCGTCTCTCACCTGACGGATCGTGGCCTGTGGTCTCTGATGGGTTTGTAACAGGGCTCAGATGAAAGTGTGGAGCCGCGGATCTGCAGTGAACACGAAGCTAAACACAGCAGCAGAGACAGAGCAGCGGAGGACGCCATGTTGGCTCCACTCTTCCTCTGACGCTGCCCGAGGCGCCCTCACAGGCACACACATGGCTCCCTCTGCCGGTCAGAGCGGTCACTGCACCCTACACTATCTATCTATCTATCTATCTATCTATCTATCTATCTATCTATCTATCTATCTATCTATCTATCTATCTATCTATCTATCTATCTATCT